TGCCATAAAAGAGGACTAGAAGGGAGGAAAGCACAGAACCCTGCTACCCTCCCCCACCCACAAAGTCAGCACTCTCTGACCAACAGGAAGGAGGAAAAAACAAAAACACTAAAACAACCAAAAAGAACAAACTACGCATCAAGCGGGACTGTGAGAGGAAAGGAACTATTTCAGCCACCACACCCCATGAACGGGAGCTGTGGAGAACCCTGCAGATTCGGCGTGGAGGTGAGCGAACGGCTCCAGGCACCATTAGAGAAAAACAAAGACTCCCGGAGAACCCCAAAAACTCCACAGAAAAACTAATTCAACTCATCAATCAGCTCAGTAAAGTGGCAGGATACAAAATCAACATGCAAAAGTCAGTAGCCTTCCTCTACACAAACAATAAATCTGAAGAAGAAGAAATAAAAAAAAAATCCCTTTTATTATCGAAACAAAAAAAAAAAATCAAATACTTGGGAATAAATCTAACAAAAGAGGTAAAGGACCTATACAAAGAAAACTACAAAACACTGTTAAAAGAAATAGAAGACACAAAGAAATGGAAAGACGTCCCCTGCTCATGGATTGGAAGAATAAGCATTATTAAAATGGCCATCCTACCAAAAGCAATATACAGATTCAATGCTATTCCAATAAAAATTTCAATGTCATTCTTCAAAGAAATAGAACAATTATTGATGAAATTCATATGGAATTGCCAAAGCTGTCCTGAAAAAAAAAAAAAAAAAAAAAAAAGAAGGGAATGGAGGCATCACACTCCCAGACTTCAAACTATACTACAAAGCCATAATCATCAAAACTGCATCGTATTGGAACAAGAACAGACACACAGACCAATGGAATCAAATAGAAAATCCAGAAATAAACCCACAGATTTATGGTCAACTAATCTTTGACAAAGAAGCAAAGAATATGCATTGGAGCAAAGAAAGTTTGTTCAATAAATGGTGCTGGGAAAACTGGGTTGCTACATTCAAAAGAATGAAGCTTGACTACTACCTAACACCATGCACAAAAATCAACTCAAAATGGATTAAAGAACTAGACATAAGACCTGAAACCATAAAATACATAGAAAGAAATATAGGTGAAACACTACGTGATATGCACATCAAAGACATCTTTACAGACACATCACCCAAAGCAGTGATAGTGAAGGCAAAGATAAACAGCTGGGACTACATCAAATTAAAGAGCTTCTGCACAGCAAAAGAGACAATAACAAAAACAGAGAGAAACCCCACCAACTGGGAGAACATTTTTGCACCCAACACTAATGATAAAGGACTGATCACAAAAATCTGCAAAGAGCTGATGAGACGCAACAAAAACAAAGAAAATAATCCTGTCAAAAAGTGGGCATAAGAGCTAAAAAGAAACTTCTCTGAAGAGGAAATGCAAATGGCCAACAGGCATATGAAAAAATGTTCAACATCACTTGTAATCAGAGAAATGCAAATCAAAATTACAATGAGATACCATCTCACACCAGTGAGAATGGCACATATTAAAAAAACTAGCAACAACAAATGTTGGTGAGGTTGTGGAGAAAAAGGAACTGTCCTGCACTATTGGTGGGAGTGCAAACTGGTCCAACCACTATGTAGAGCTGTGTGGAGATTTCTGGACCTACTAAACATAGAGCTTCCATATGAACCAGCAATTCCGCTCCTAGGTATTTACCCAAAGGACACAGAAACATCAATTCCAAAGAGCACCTGCATCCCTATGATTATAGCAGCACTATTTACAATAGCTAAGCTTTGGAAACAACCCAAATGCCCAAAAACAGATGACTGGATCAAGATGATGTGGTACATATACACCATGGAATATTACTCAGCATTCAAAAAAGATAAACACATGCAATTTGCAGCAACATGGATGGAGCTGGAAGGGATCATGCTCAGCGAAATAAACCAGAAAGGAAAAAGAAAAATACCGGATGGTCTCACTCATAGCAGGAACCTAGAAAACTTAAATAAGGGTCCAGGAAAAAGAATAACTATAAGAAAGAAAATATCTAAATCAACAAACAACTATGAACCAGAGACACTCTATGGGGGGTGGGGGGAGGCAGGGAGGGGAGGGATTGGGGTCAAAATAAGGGGGTTGTAATTGCATGGGGAATATAAAAATAAAATTTAAATAAAAAATAAAAAATGTAATAAAATAAATTTAATAATATACTGCATTTCCTCCATTTTACAGATAAAAAAGGGTATATGGGGGTAAGTAACTTGCCTTAGTTACATAGATGGGTAGGACCAGAGCTAGTATTCAAAGGCAGCCTGACTCAGTGCTTAAGTTTCTGCTCAATCATTATGCCTTACAATAAAAGTCTGGTGCTTCATACACTTTTGAACTCAAAAATTGAATATAAACACCCTGGATTCTACTTTCATCTATCATACCTACCATTCAAGCTATTATATTCAAGCTCTAAGATGGCGTACAGTAAACAATATAACCAAAAGGACTGGACAATGTCACATGAATTTACTGGGTAAACAATCTAATTTGCATGTGCTTTCTTACCATCTACACTAGCATCATCCACCCAAATGATTTCCTTCAGCAGTATGCAGGTGAAGAATAGCGCACACTGTGGACAGTTCTAAGCAGTGTGGACCATGCTTCATTACGAAAAACTATTATGATACTGGTGGTAGGCAGGGGAGGACAGCGCTTAAATTTTTGTTCAATACATCTAGAAGAAGTAAAGAAGTAGAACAATTATAAACTTTGTCACTTCATTTCACAGCTATGCCATTACTAAAATCATCAATGGTTATCTTTACAGGAATGATAGTAGCTGGTTTCTGTATAAAATTATCTTAATGCTTTGTAAATTTAAATAAATCAAAACAAAATTTTTTACATGCAGACCAACACCCAAAGATCATGTCCACTGATAATGGATTATGTGTCAAGGATTAAAAGACAGTATAAGCTTTCTCAACAATGTAATATTTAATACAAACACATTTTAAATAAGGAAAATAACCTACAAATGAGACAACTGAAAAATGGCAAACACTTGTAATTGCTGGCATAGAGTAAACTACAGTGCTTCATTCTACTAGCTGAGCTATTGAAGGGATTGTAATTGCCCCAATAAAGTCCAAGTTCTTTTTTTCTTTCTAAAAAAAAAATCTGTCTTTTATAATCATTAGAACAACATGGTTCCCCCTCTTTTATTTAAGATCAAATTGGATTTTTTTGTCACGACAAGAGTCTGGACAAATACCATTAGTTAAGCAACTCAAACGAAGTGTACATTAATAAATGGGAGGGTCAGTCTTTAATCTCTTTTAAATCTGATGCTGATTCTAGGCAACTGACATGGTAGATTAGCAAGACTTAACATTTGACATGAAACGCAGTTCAGGTAAATAGATGTGTATAGGTGTCCTTCACTACCTATGGGGGATGGGTTTCAGGACCCCTGAGAATACCAAAACCCAGGATGCTCAAGTCCTTTATATAAAATAGTGTAGTATTTGCATATAAACTATGCACATTCTCCTATATACTTTAAATCATCCATAGATTACTTAAAGTATCTAATATAATGCATAGTCTCTTCCAATGCTATACTGTATTACTTAGAAAATGACAAGAAAAATCTGTACATGTCCAGTACAGATGCAAACATAGTAGTAGTAATATTTTTGATTCACAGTTGGTTAAATCTCTGGATGCAGAACCCAAAGGCATGGAGGATGAATTGTACTGCTTGATAAGCAACTTGGACACTAAGTACCATGTTCAGATAGTGACCTCCTTTCATGGATATTGTTGCTTAGTATAAGACCAAGTTTAAAGAACACTGATTAGATGAAAAGGAGCTACTTTCCATATTTATATATATAGTTATGCTTAATGACTTGTCCTTGTGTGACCAGCATGGCTAGAGGATAAGATCCGCATCATATCTGGAATTAGTTTCACTAAAATGTCATTAAGAGGCACAAGGCTATAGTATAGATAAGACAAAGACTTGAAGGTAATTCTGGAAGGTCCAAATTATAGAACATATAGGACTAGGAAATATAAAGAGGACTTTAGATTTGTCATGAACACAAACTTTGGGATTCTAAGCTGTGTCATCAGTCAGTACTGCTGGGTTGGGTCTACACACAAACAGGAAGTTATTCTACAAATACTTGTGCATCTATATTATGCCCAGCACCAGGGACACCGTGTGAGCAACGTAAACTCAAACCCTTAGAACTTTGAGGAAACAATATAAAGCCCAATTTTGACAATGATTAATTTGAAAATAAAGGGTTACATGGTTGTTATTAATGGTCTTAAAAAATAATCGCACGATTTACCCCCTCCTCCAAACTAGATTCATTAAGAACATCAATATATACAGCAGTATGATCAAAGTGCAAAAAATTAAAATATGTTCTTCTGTCTAACGGTATAATTTCTTTAACATACCATCTAGTTATTAAGCTATCAAAAACCAAGGCACACTTAAATAGATATTAATAATTCTCATCCATTGTAGAACAATTAAGAAAGGACATAAAGCTTATCTGTCAAATGGCTTCTTTCTCCATGGTAAATCTGAGTCTCTAAAATAGTAACTTTAAACTTTTGTCCAACTGTGAAATTTACGGGAACAAAGAAGTTTGGTCTGCCACACATTTGCATTTTGAGAAGAAAATTGTTAATGCTAGCAACAGAGCCCCATTAAGTGAGAGAAGTTTATGTCAGTATATTTCCTTCACATTATGCAAAATGAAGTCACATTTTAACCTACTAGATATCTGTGACACTTGTCTGGGTTTCTGATTTGTAGATGATTTTTATTCTTTCCCTGAATAATCTCCTAACAGAATTGGTTGCTGATAAAGTTGAATGGAAGTGGAATAATCCTGTGTGTAAACCCAAATTTTCTAATTTTGGTGATATGCCTAAGGCTAGTGTCTGGGTTAGGAAAAGAAAAAGTGTTTGAAGAATAAAATTGACTACAATGAGAAACACACAGATCTTAGAGCATATGAAACATAGATTTTATTTAAATTCATGTACAGGTAAAACTTTACCAAAATTTATAAACAAAAACCAAATTCAAATTTTTCCCCATCACAAAAATGGACCTATGGGGAAAAAAGTATCATTCTCTTAATTATGTTTTTCCAACTGGTAGTTTCTAAGGGAAAAAGAGAGGAGAGAGATGAAAGTGACACTCACAACACTCACAAATCTTCAGTAAGGTCTCATCTTGAAGTGATTTAGTTGCAGAAATTTCCATAATAATCAGCATTCCAGTTTTGACATCAGAATACAACCTTCTATAGACTTTCCTGACTTATGATGGTTAGACTCATGATTTTTTTTACTTTATCATGTTATGAAAGCAATACAGTTCCAATAGAATACATACTTCCAATTTTGAATTTTGATCTTTTCCTAGGTAGTATGATACTCTCTTGTGATACTGGACAGAGGCAGTGAGCCCCAGCAAACCAGTCAGCAAATCCATCATGAGGGTAAAAAACTGACACTCAACAGTGTACCATGTGGCTGGTCTTTTATATTGCATTAAATCCATTTTCAACTTAATGATGTTTTCAATTTATGATGGGCTTTTTTGAGTATGACCCCATCTGAAGCTGAAGAAGAGGTGTTGAAAATCATAAATAAGGCTTCTGGTTTTATTTTAGTATGAGGTAAACAGTATCTTAATCATTAAGGCAAATGGTAGAATCCATGCATGTTAAATTAATGTGGACCTTCCACTGTCAAATCTATATTGGAATATTCATAGATTTTGCAAACATGTGGTAGAATTAGAAACTTGTAAAAACTGTTGCATTGTGTCACAGCAGCACCTTTTTGATAATCTTTTAAATGCAATCTTGTCTAAGATTTTTAAAGTCTGTAATTTTTATTTATTATATAGGATCAAAGAGTCACCAAAACTGTTATAAAAGAACCAGGAACCAATGTCAAATGCTGTAATATGCATGCTGTTTAGCAATGCAGGCCGCTCCCCTAGGTCAGCACAATGATGCTTACAGATTAGGGCATCAATAAAGAATGTTATTTAGACTTCATAGGTATCTTATTAAGGAAAATACAGATTTAAGATTTTTCATACAGTGACTCTTGTTCACCCCCTCCTCATTTTTTTTCCCAATGGGATAATCATTTCCTTCACAGAAACGAGAACTAAACGAGAGAACTATTCCTTTTTATAGGAAAATGGGCTGCTTCTTTCAAGGGGTCAGGACAAAGGCTTCACTTCTTAGCCACACTGGCCACAGCCTTCTTGGCTGCATCTTCCAGGTCGACGGCAGAGGTAATGGGGAGTCCGCTGCATTTAAGTATGTTCTTGGCTTCATGAACATTGGTTCCTAGAAGAGGGGAATGACGAACAGTCAATGAAATGGAACTGGAGGTGGTGTTGTCTCAGGACGCTTCCTACAATCTGAAATCAGAGGCTGTCTGATATCACAGACACAATTTATATATAACACTATTTCATCTTTTCATGATCCAGATCTCGCTGTCTAGATATATCCAGATGACAAATTTAATTTTCACTCTTTTCACCTTAAATGTCTAGTATTATCTAGTATTATATAGATCGTACTTATATTTTCTCTGGTAAGTAAACGGAATTAATAAGGTTTTGTTAGACTGTGCACAAAGAATAACCGCTTGTCTAACTAGTTTGAAAAAGGACAGTCTTCTGAAATAGATTTATGCTTTGATGGAATAGTCAGAACACAGAATCTAAGGAAAAAGCTTTGTATATAAATTGAGCAGGGTGTTGGCATAGTATGGAATATTAGGAGTAACACACTGGGATGCACAAGACTAACCTGTCTATATCTTTTCACCAGGAGATGGATTAAATATAGATTCTAACCAACGTCATTAACAGGGAAAATGAAATGACAAGCCCGTATCAAGTGTTGTTCCAGCTAGAAAAGATGAAAGAACTTGAAAGAGGCTAATGGACATGTTTTTACTGATAAAAGTAGAAATTTCTACTGATAATTCACAGTTAAGTGGATTTAATGTGATTTTTGCCCATACCAGAGTATCAATTATCTTAAAAGCCTCTTGTGGTTAGAGTTGAGACCCAATATGACATCTGAAGTTCACAGAATCTGGCCCCTTAGGTCACAAATACACTGCTTTGAGATTGACAGTATTCAATATGTCCAATTCTGTTTCCTCCTCACTCTAGATAACAAAAGGGCAGAAGCCCTGAAAATGAGCACTGCAACCTTGAATGACATCTCTTGGTGATTCCTGGTGGGGTTGTATCATTGGCAGCCAAGTCACTTTACCCAAAGATGTGCACCAGTGACTAACATTCAAACTGCTTTTCTAGTCTTCGAAGGTTCTAGGAGAAATATGGTGAAATTTAAGGGTCTAAAGATTTATCTTATCTTGTACCATTTCCTGTGCTTTTATCTACTTAGGAAGACAGAGCTGATTTATAAACGAAGAATTTGCAATACATGTGTTGGAGGACCTACGAGTGCACATAAAAAGGAGCAGTGTGGTCCACATGTTTCACACACAGAGGAGGAGGTGAAGGAAACAGAAACAGTTGGAATGAAAAGGTGATATAGTCTTGATTCTCCTGGGATCCTGGGTCCAATAAAGCACTGGAGAAAGGGAACGTGGGCTTTCACTCTCTCACACTGGAGTCTGATGAATGGCTTCTTTGGAAAGCAACAACTCAAAAGACAGGGAAGTTGTTACTTAAATTAACCAGACATTCTTGCTGGTTCCGCAGTTGTGCAGTTTTGGGTAAATCATTTAAATCTTGTGAGTCTCTTGACATAACATTATGATGATCTTCCTCATAATTAATAGTCATTAAAATTATATATGCCAGATATAATGCCATATGGTGAATATGCAACATGAAATCTTCATAGTAACTATGTGATGGTCCTATTGTCCTATTTCACAGAAAATTGAGGCACAGGGAAATTAATAATTTTTGCAGGTCAGAAAAGCTGTCAGTGGCAGAAATGGGACTTGAACACTGTCCCCTTTATTTTTTTTTTTTAAATTTATTATTTATTTTATACAAGGACTGGGGTACAGGCCAGAAGCACGGGAGAGTGAGAGAATTCACCAGAGCCAGAATGGGGAGCAGAACAGGCAGACGGACCAAAGACACTGCTGAGGGGAGCAGGGGGTGAGGCAGTAGCAGTCTGCTGCACCATGTGGGGTTCTCCATGGTTGGCTGGCGGGGAATCGAACTGGCGCTGCAGAGGCTGCGGACAGCTTTGCAGTGCAGCAATCAACCGCTGCGCCACCGGGGAGGCTCCCCTGTCCTCTTTAATTGCACAACTGTAAATGTTCTAAAGATATGCTGATCTATTTTCCTGTCTCTAAAATGAGGATAATAATGCTGACAGCACAGGCTGTGATGAAAAACAAAGGAAGTAATATGTGTGAAAACATAAATGGCAAAGTATCTGGACTGGCTACCTGCCCATCAAAGATTCATTGCTCCTCTTTTACCATGAAGAGCTGTTGCTGCAAGTAGCTGCCCAACCAAAAATGAGGATTCCCAGGCTTCCTTGCATCTAGGTGGGGTCTTGTGACCCAGTTCTGGTCAATGGAATATGAGTGGCGAGAAACATATGCCCATAAAAATTCCCAGAGTGACCTTCCATACCTTCTTCGGTTTTCCCTTTTAGAAAGTTGTCAGCCAACGTCACCTTTTTTTTTTTTAAGATTTATTTTATTTATTTATGCATACAAGAATAGGGATATAGGCCAGAGATGCAAGGGGGATGGTGAGAGGCTTCACCAGAGACAGAGTGGGAAGCACAATACACAGTTCTACTGAAATACACTGATGAGGGGAGCAGCAGGAGAGGTCTGCTATGCCATGTGGGTCAGCTCGCTGGCCGGGGATTGAACTCATGCTGCAGTGGTTGGTGATAGCTCCATAGCCTTGAGACTTAATCCCTGTGCCAGCAGGGAAGCCTCAGCCATTGTCACCTTTTGAAGACTGCAGCGACTCCATCAGCATGGACATTTGAAAAACTGTAGAGTAAGGTGCCCCACTGACATCCTCTTAGCGTTTATGTGAATAAGAATTTTCTACTATTTCAGTATTTATCTGTTGTTAAAGAAGCTAACATCACATTAACCTATTACTTTGTAAATGTGGCAGGCAGCTTCTAAAACAGCTCTCAGATGATCAATTCCCTGTTGATGTTCGTGTGATTATCTCTCAGCGACGATAAGCCATTGACTTGCTTCTAATGCGTAAGAACACATTTTTGTCCTCTTTGAGTAGGTACCTAGGGGTGGAATTGCTGGGTCATATGGTAAATTCATTTTTAGTCTTTTAGAGAATCTCCATACTTCTTTCTACAGGAAGCTGGATTAGTTTATATTTCCACCAACAATGTAATAGGGTTTCTTTTTGTCCAAACCCTCACTGACACTTCTTGTTTATGGTTTTTTTGATATGGGCCAGTCTCACAGGTGTGAGGTATAATCTCATTATGATTTTCATTTTCATTTCCCTGATGAGAAATGATGACAAGGGCCTCCCGGGTGGCGCAGCAGGTTAAGTGCAGCGCTGTGAAGCTGTCCGCAGCCTCTGCAGCGTGGGTTCGATCCCTGGCCAGCCAGGGAGATTCCCACATGGCACGGCAGACCTCTCCCGTCGTGCCCGCTGCTCCCCTCAGTAGTGCTTTCAGTCTGTCTGCCTGTTCTGTTCCCCACTCTGTTTCTGGTGAATCCTCTCACCCTCCCGCTTCTCTGGCCTGTACTCCAGCTATTGTATAAATAAAAAATAAATCTTTAAAAAAAAAGAGAGAGAAATGATGACGAGCATTTTTTTCACGTTTGTTGCCTATCTGCCTATATTTTTTTGAGAAGTGCCTATTTAGCTCTTCTGTTCATTTCTTTGGATTGTTTTCTTCTTGTTAAGTTGTATAAGCACTTTGCAGATCTTCAGTATCAGTCCCTAATCAGATATATGGTATGAAAATATTTTCTGCCACTCAGTAGGGTGTCTCTTTGTTTTGGTCACTGCCTCTTTTGCTGTACAGAAGCTTTTTAATTTGAAAGGAACCCTCATGCCTACGTTTATTGTAGCACTATTTATAATAGCTAAGATAGGGAAACAACCTCTACACTCAAGAACAGATGAGTGGATCAAGAAGATGGGGAACAGACACACAATGGACTACTACTCGGCAATTAAAAATTCATGCTGTTTGCAACATGGATGGAACTGGAAGGGATTATTCTAAGTGAAGTGAGGCAGAAAGAAAAAGATAAATAAAAAGATATTCATCTTATTAAGATAAGTATTTACTTTTTAGGATAAAGTAAAACCAGGTGGTTTTACTTACATGTGGGATCTAGAGAAACTAAACAAAGGATTAGAGAAGTCAAACTGACCTTGAAAGAAGACCTTAGATCTGAGACACTGAGGAGGGGAGGGAGAGCAGAAGGGAGGAGGGAAGAGAGTGAGGTATGTGGAAGTGAGTGCAGTGGTGTGGTGAAGGACTGTGAGCTGGTGGTGAAAGCTATGGTGACCGCACCTGAGGGGAGAAATTTACACTGTGGAAATAAACAAAGATGTTTAAAAACAAAACAAAAAAGAACACAGCAAAAGTGACGGAATGTCAGTCACTTCTGAGACTGTTACACCACCTGTGACGTCTGTCTTGCTCCCTTTGACTCCTTGTTTGTTTGCTCTGGTGAAGCATCTGCCAACTGTGGGCTGACTGTGCTAGGAGAAACCCAGGGGGCAAGGGAATGTGGGTGGCCTCTGCTAACATATGAAGAGAAACTGAGGTCTTGGACATAACAGCCTATGAGGAATGGCATCCTGCCAAGAGCCATGTGAGTGCTTGGCAGTTGCCTTCCTTAGTCAAGTCTTGACATGACCACAGCCCTGGCGGTCCCTTCACTGTAGCCTTGTGAGAAGGGCCTTCCCCTTCCCAGCCAGAGGACACAGCTTAGGCACACCGGGATTTCCCATCACCGAAACTGCAAACTAATGAATGTTCTTTGTGACAAGCTGCTAAATTTCAGGGTGATTTATTACATATTGGTACTTAATATAGATGCAAAGATTTATTATTTCATTGCCACCTCAGTCTACATTTTGATTCATTTGTAAAAAGTTTCAGCCAAGGTCCTAGATGAGAGATGATCAGAATGTGGCAGGTGTTAGTGTCAAGCTAAGGGATTCAAACATGAATCTGTAAGCAGGGCTCTTGTGGAGTAATGACATGGCCTGAAGCAATAGTTGTGACTGACACAAAAGTGAGTCAGCTCTTGGATGAGGTGATGAGTGTCAAATGTGTACATTTCTATCTCCTTCGACAGAGATGTGGACTAGAATTCT